TTAGGGAGAGCGCAACTATAAAAATTCAACATTTTGTTACAAGGATTCACGATCCGACTAGCGTTTGTTTTACGGACAAGTGTTAATCCCTAACACTTCAAAGTAGTACGCAAAGAATTTGAATGGTGGACCTCGACACTAGACAGCAGTGAATGACGAACTTATTCCTACAGAAAGAAAATGCTGTACGAGATAATTTCTGACTAGATTTTGTCAGTTTAAACTTTTTTTTTAATATTGTATTAGTTGTTTCGGGAGGGGAATTAGACCGGTTTCCTTCATATTTACAGCACAAAGTTTTAGTCCTCGAAACTTGGGTGCATTGGACTGCAACAATTACGTTAGTGTAAGTTGCATACGTTTGTTTGTCTCTCTAAAATGTACGCATTTCTCGTCTCATTGAATTCTTGTTTACGTGATAACTGTCATAACATTACAAAGCAGTGTTTCTTTAAAGAATGAAAAAATATGTAAGACTTGTGCGCTGTTGAGTTAGTACATACTTCTTAATAAACTGAAAATAAGATTTCATTAACTAGAATCGCTTATAAAATATTTTTATGTCCAGAACGGCGTTTTACTTTGGATCAAATCTGTCTTCACTGACTTTGTCTATACCCATATATGTAAATATATATTATTAATTATTCATCCAATTGCCAATTTCTAACACTTTTTGTGGTTGTGAATGTAGCAGCTTTTTCTTTAGATAGAAACAGTCTCATTTCTCACTTCGCTATAACCTAACTGAGGTTCTGCATATTGAGTTAATTGTTTACGGCAATTATCTTTTGTCTGCTGACAATTCAGTTTTACTCCCAGTCTCCAAAACCTGCGTTATCTTCTAATTGCGTAATACGTCTTCGTTATTGAGATTCTTCTTATAGTTACATATAAATATTTAATCTATAAGATTGGCTTTTTATAAGCCGGTAATATTTTTTGCTTTGTTCTATATTCGACTTCTTATATATTAAATGTTCTGTTTTAGAAAACCAATTATTCTCTTTACTTAGCAGCCTTCGATGCTATTTAATATAAGCAAGTGCAAGCGTAGTTAAAGATATCACGAATAAATACAAAATTAAAATCATTTACTTGTCTACTATTAGAGTTAGGTAAGAATGCCTTCATCAGGACTGAATTCAAAACAAAACTACAACATGCACACTAAAGTAAGAATTATTTGTCTTCTCTACCACAATCCAGGAAAGGATTTGCAGTTCTTTCTTATCCAAGAGAGTCTTTTAAGTTGTGACGCCTCGTGGATTTGTAAGACTTTAAGGCTAAAAACGGAATCTTAACCATATCTTCCAAACCCTGCTTCACTAACATACATTTTAATGTTATTGCCCAATCTATGCTTAGGTCTCCCTAGTGGTTTCTTTCCTCTCAGGCTTTCCAACCAAACTTTTGTACGCGTTTCTTGTATGCCCCATGTGCGCTACCTGCCCCCGCCATTATTAACCCTTCTTGATTCGATCATTCTAATAATATTTGGCCAAAAATACAAATGATTATAACTTATAATTTAAATATTAATTCGGAATGGAATATTTGAATTCCGAAAAGCACGTATTTTGACTCAGTGTGCTGCTGTCGTGTGTTCGGACCAATTCTGTATTTTACAAAGATAATCAACTATGTTTACCGTAAAATTTATAAATAAAATAAGTACTAAGAGTGACCTATCTTACATTATATAGTACCAGATTGTTCGATCGATTATTGCGCCATTTCCTTTCTTTTCAACATGGCGACTTTTATACTGATATAGACGCCATACTTTATGTCTGAATAAAGTAGTATTGCAATTTAAAGATTCCACTTTTCGAAACCGAAAAATGTCGAGCTTCGACAAAAACCATTATTGTCGTGGGTACATTGAAACTGTTTATGAACTTATTTTATACACTTGCAAAATTAAATTAAAATATTATTTTGCCTCACTATGAGATGACGAATGTTATTTATAATTATGTTACCGTATAATTATAGAGTATATCAAGAACATGTATTTTAATACAATATGGAATCAGTTGTGTGGGATTTGGGGATTAGTTTAATACTAGCAGTTTGCGAATAAAACATTATTTAAAATGCTCTTTCAACTTGATAAAGTCGTCGTATATATCAAGGTGTGCATAAAGAAATTTGTCTGTATCCATATTATACATAACATTTAGAATTTCACGAAGTGTAAAACAGGAATCCCAAGAGTAATGCACGCTGACTATTTCGTACTTTCAGATGGGTATCGTGATTAAAGAATTGTAAACTTTTGCTGGATTGTGCTTGCGAAAACGAATTTACTCTGCCTGCTCGTATTCTTATTACTTCTATATACACCATGCCGATATTTAAAAATTATAAATATTAGTAGTCATTTCTAATTCATTAAAAAATATTCAAATGCGGTGGACAAGTGAACAATTCCCACTTTTATTGGTTTAACGACGCTTCTAGTTACGTAGATTAAGTAGCGTCGAATGATCGGATGATACTGAATAATAAATTAATGTGGAAGGGAGTGGTCGTGAAGTGACCTAATTTAAGGCAGGCCTGTCATTCGGACATTTGCATAGAGTAACTGAAGGAAACCACGAATATCCTTAGGATAGGTGATACCCAGCATTGTTGATATCGGTATGGAATTGTGAAAATTATTTATATTCTCTCTGGATTCTGCAGTCGAAGATGAACATGTTCTTTCTCAGTCTTTTTTTTCCCCTGCAGACCGTTTACCATTTACAGAGTTTGTTAATAAAATGTCTCATAACTGTGAACAACAAGAAAAGATTTATTTTTTGAAACAAAAGTATGAATATAAGTGATCTTAAAACACAGTTACTGCAGATCTTATTTATTTTTGTCCAGATTTTAAATTGTTTGTTTACGGTTTCTATGCAAACCTAATCTTCCTTCTGCAGTTTTTATGCGTAGAACCATATGTATAATTTAAACCACGAAATATGGGCAGATAGTTGTCACCTACCTTGAAACAAATCTTGCAAGGCAGTTAATTTCCATGGACGCTACTGAGGGACTGGCTTGCTGTGCACATAGTGTAAGAACAGTGCAGAAGAAGCACCACTTGGGCCGCGAGACTGCGTCAGCGCAGTGTTTCTAACCGTTAATAAATTCAATTCAGTACACCATATTACACCCCAGGCCTTTCTTCTCCACATCAATACAGCCTGTGGAAGCAGCTAAGGAATTTAATCAGCCCTTGTAGGGTGAGATGCAAGGCCGAACTGACGCAAAATACGGAGACGGTGTCAGTGTCTTGATATTAATTCTGTTGTAAACTTACAGAAACTTATTTAATCATTACAGAAATTACACACAAATGGATGAAAGAACAATATAGTAGGGTCCATAAATCAGTTGAGAGGGAAATGGAAGCACTAGAACAGAAAAACACGTAAAATTGTAAAGAGAATAATAATATTTGTAATAACAAGAAACGGGAGTTTTCAGCATGCCAACTGGCGTTAGACGTGGTTTCATACTTTGTGGAAAGGACACGAATTAGGGATGTTCGAAAATAATGTTCTGAGAGTAATATTTGTACCCAATAAGTATTCATTTGTGGTTAATTTAGACAACACTATCAATAACTCAGATAATATACCGTCAAATTATAAGATGATTAAGAAAGAATGGGTTGGAAATAATGGAAGGTAGCGGTCTTGGCTTAATTTAAAGCATGATTTCGGCATATGTTAGAGGTTCTGAGGAAACTATGAAAAATGTTAGGGTAGCCGGTCACTGGGCCGAGATTTTAACCTTCCAAACCCAAAGCGAATTTGCTAACAATTCGGCTGAGACGTTAGGTGAGGGGTATATATGAAGAATTTTGGTTGATGAAGTAGCCTACTTGTAAGCGAGTAACTAAGGATGTAATATAGCTAGTAATTCCTTTATAGCCCACATAAAGGTAGAGAGCAGCTAGTTTTGTCAAGAAGTTACGATGGTCTAGGCGGTTGCGTAGGTTGAAGGAGACAAGCACCCGTACCGTACAGAATTTACATGGAGAATCCCTTAAAGAACCTCCACTTGGAAGGCTGAGGAACTCCGAGGACAATATTAAGATTGATCTTAAGGATATATCTTGTTGGAGTTGGAACTGACTCAGGATTTTCACTTTCATACTAGCGGCATCGAATCTTCGGCCCTGCTCTCAGATTACATTGTAGCCACGTAAGCTTTGTATTAAAATCGAAAGTAATTAAACTGCTTTATGAAGTACATTTCCAGACCACTGTCACTTCCAATACTCCATCCGGCTACTAAGTAAGAATTATTTCCCGCCCTTGCACCATATCCTATACTCGTGCAGCTTTTAATTGCATATTGTATTTAATGAGTTCTGTAAAAGCAAATCAATTTACGAGGAATTTCTTGATGATCTGAGTGACCATTAGCCTCTCAATAAGGATTCCATACAGATAGCATTGCGATGGTGTTCATGATTTTAATGCTTACTGACGAATTCTCGTATTCAGAAGAAATCTATTAAATCGTTTGTCTGATGTCCATACATGAACCTTCTTATGCGGAATAGCTTTAAGTTGTTTACAATGCCGCGGTTTTCACCCCCTCCCCATACTTCTCAGTAACCAAAAGGATTGTCATGTGTCTAGAAGTGTAATTAGAGCTGAATATAAGCGTAAAACTCATTTTAATTTTACAATCTCTAAAAAGGAGTTTCATTTTAATGTTGTATTAAGTAACTCTGCGTTTATGTTCTGTGTTACAACAAAGTGTCTGCAGCAGACTCTGAGTTCATACCAAGATGCCGTCACTGTTACCACTCAGCGTGTGTGTCGTTGTAAAGCTGAAATCGGCCATTAACAGCATCCGAACGGTTCCACCACGTAATTTTCATCCAGTTTTTCTGTTACAGCTCACTGACTGCTATAACTACTACAGGACGATCTCTGGTAGTATGTTATATAGGCTGTAGATGATTAATGATGGAAAAGGAAGAAGTGTGATAAGTTCCAAGGCACCTTTATTATGTAATTTGCTACATTGCCGGCATATCTCTTTGTTCCATTGAGACACCAGATTTTTATTGTCATTCTGAACACATTAATTGTAAAGGATTTTGTGTAGTATTTCTATATATTACAATATTTATAGTCACTAAGGCACAATGGGCTGGGAAAAACTCTGAATTAGAATTAACAGGATCTCTATTGTAATTAACCTGAGAGGGATTTTCTAAGTGTATTTTGCTAATTGTAGTCGTCCACAAAGTTTATTTTTCTCGACTGATGTTTATCAATTGTCTTAATAATTTCTCCAAAGTCTCTAGCTGTCTCTTACAACCCTGCACATCATCTTCTATTTTAGCTATTCTCTTCATAACATGTTTGGATTCTTTCGTTCTTCTGTCGACAATGTCCTTAGCTGCTTCTATAACTTTCCTATCGAGGTTGAACCCAATCCTGCACTTACCAATTGTAAAACATGTGTCTGGCCTAAATTCCACGTCTTTCCTCTTCAGATTTCTGTTGGTATACCGTGTTCCTCGATTGACAGTGATGTCCAGAGAACCACCTGCTAGTACGTTAGGAAATAAGCTGATTGTCCTCAGCAATTTGTGTTGCCAAGCACAACATAAGGATCGCGATTGGCCAATCAGTTCGTAATCGTAACGGTTGTGTATGGGACCACCGAACGCCACGATCTCGAACTGGTGCACCAGCTTCGCTCTGGACTTGTAAGCAACGAGTTCAGCGTCGTTCTTGATGGCCTGCGTGTCGCTGACAGCCAGGCCATTCAGCAGGTTGATCAAAACGATTGTCATCATGAAGACAAAGAACAGGAACACGAAGTACCCCCCGTGGTCGAACGTCATGCCGGAAGCGTCGAATTCTCCTGTCATCATCACGACCGTCTTGAGCAGAGACATTGGTAAGTTGCTGTAGAAGTCGACGCCGTTGTCTTGCACGGAGGCACTGAGGTTACGGGCTGAATAGTTAGCGCCTTTGTCTTCGGAAGACGCTTCATTGTGGTACACCTTGTAGAAGCTGAAGGTGAAGGCAATGATGAGAGGGGAGTACCAGAGAAGAAACTTCATGTAGTTAACTGTGACCCTCTTCAGCATCTCATTATAGATTGCCAGAGTGTAAATGCAGCCGAACTGCAGGATTACCTCTGTCCATGCTAGGAGCAGAGCCACTGCGGTTAGTATTTTGGAACAGCTGCCGATCAGAATAAGAAGAGTGGTCGTTATAATGCCTATTTCAAGCCAGTTTTCCAAATTGTAGAAATAACTACTCTTCTCCGGTGACATGCAGAATTGCATAAGCTCTCTGAAGACGAGTACCACATACAGAAAGAATAGAAGAGCCCGGATAACTCTCACTCCACTTTCGTCACATTCAAAATTCTGACCGCATTTGCCACACATGTTGGAGTCGGAGAGAATTTCTGATGTTAAAAAAACAACAAATATGATGTAATAAATCATATTTAAGTAGAATATTATGCTGATACGGCTCCATTTCATATGCAAGAACATTAGTAGGACGGGGTGTTTGAGCAGATGTCGAAATTTGTTTGATTGGCTGATGAAGTACAAGGGAAACATCTCAGGCAACATTTCTTTACGCCATTCTCCAGATTCTTCATCTTTCGGTCGCTCGCTGTCACGTCCCAGAGCGGGATTCAAGATTCTGAAATTAAATCTCAGAGTGTATTCGTTGTCATTTTCTTCTTTGGTACACTCCACACAGTCATCCAAAGCCTTTTCCAGTGTTTCGGGGTCGATGTCATCCAAAGGACAGACGTCGAAATCGTTCAGGGATCCTATATAGGCCCCATGCGCGAGTAGTGCCTTAGCAAATTGATCATTGTCTTCCTGAACAGCGTAGTGGAGTGCTGTATGACCAAAGCTATCGCCGTGATTGATAGGAATGTTAAACGTTTCTTGTTCTTGCAGCAAAAAATTGAAGCAATCGCGGTAGCTGTCCCGAGCCTCTCTTTTAGCGCTGAACCCCCGAAGAACTTCGTGAAGGAGAGTCTTCCCTTCTATCAGCTCTGTTTTTACGTCTCTTGTATTATATAGACACCTGAGGATGTCATAGTGGCCGTAATAACAGGCGATATATACTGGTGGCTTGCTCTCATGTGTTCCGGTTTTATTTACATCCGCTCCACTGTTGAGCAGAAGTTCAACAATATCAAGAAGACCTTGTTTGCAAGCCAGTTGTAGGAACGTCATTTGTATCAGATCTGTTCTGTTTACGAATTCTTCCTTGAAATTATGTCTGAATGTATCAACATTTCCATTTCTGAGGTCCATGTAAGCGTCATCATGTGCGTATGTGTGTTCGGCACTCTCAGGGACCTCATCTTTCAGTTCCGGGTGGTTGTGTAAGATCAGATTCCTGTCTTCCGGTCTGAGGTCGCGACGCTGGAGGACTTTCTGAAGTGTGCCTCCACTGCATTTGCCAACTGCGTCGGAGATCGCAGACCGGTCGTTTGCACTTCTGTGGCTCGCGCTCATGCCCGGAATACTGGCAAGGTACGAAAAACATTCTTCAGCTTTGTCGTTCTTTCCGAGGCTCCGAGCGGAAAGGTGCAAAGCAGTTTCTCCTTTTCGGTTTATAGCACTTATATTAGTGTCAGGGTGCTGGACCAAACGTTTGATTACGTGAATCTGTCCGTTCTCAGCTGCAAAATGTATCGGAGCATTTCCATCGTAACTTTTACATATCAGGTTGGAATCTGCGTTATTGGCCAGTAAAACTTCAACAAATTCAACCATTCCCTTCTGGCAAGCTATAGCCAGGCAGGTCTTGTAGTAAGGATCGCTGTACTCGTGGTTTAGGTTAATGTCGTTTTTGTCCTTACCTTTCAGCAAGTTAATAAAGGCACCAAAATCTCCGTCTTCCAGATATTTCAGCAGATGTTGCTGATTTTGTTTGCCAGTCACTTTGAACTTGGACATATTCTGGAACAAGAGAGACAGACACGAGTAGTTACACCTAATTGTACGCTGTACTCCGCCTAGCGGATCTTATATGGCAGAAAATTTTTCACAGAAACTTTGCTGTGATTTAGTATATGCAATAAATTAATTAAATAATTTAATGTATTTTCTATACAGAATATTCTGTTCGCCTGACACCGTCTTTTTAGGTCCACGGTTCTCGATTTTATAACTCAATCAATTGTAAGAAGCACCCTGGATTTAGTAATAGGTTTTCAGGGAAAAAAGAGACGCTTAATCGATTTTTATACACCATCAAATGTAAGACGCGCCCTGACTTCAGAAAATTTAAAATGTAAAAATGAATGTGTCTTACCATCGAGGGAGTACGATACTTTTGATTCTATTCCCCTATTTACATCTAATTCTGTGCGAGAATTTTATCACGTTTTAATTCTGCAGAATTAGAAATATTTAGTAAACGGGGTATGGAGACGTAATACTCGGAGAACAAAAATAAAATACAGAGTAAACAACATAATTACGTAATGAGTCATCGAGACAACATTTAGATCGACCGGACATTCAGAACGCAAGGATGAGATAAGACACATGAGTAACTTCATTTCTTATTTCAGGTTCAGTAGAAACTGAATCCCGAGATGAAGTTGGGAGGAATCTCTGTAATTCTACTGCCGAATTATCGCTCTAAGCATTTGAAAAATTAGATACGGTTAGTAGCCAAATAAGTCCACGCAGCGTTACAACGCAGAAAAACAACACGGACCACGAGAACCTGAAACCTACAACTAATTCCGTGGAACGGAATCATCTTTGAGAAGCTAATAGTAGGCTCAGCTAGTCAAGAAATTTCTCGTCTTCTGCGGAACAAAAACATCAATTACCATGTTCACAAAAACCAGCCACCGGTCCTAAAGTTATCGCCATCTTCAGCCCTGAAGAAGGATACATTATATTTCTCCGAAACGCTGGTATCTATCTGTGAGTCCATACGGCTTTAATATCCAGAAGACCAACATCTTTTTCTCCATACCTGTGAGAACCTCAAATTTCATAGGGTCTATATGGTATTGTAGCTTCGAAGTAAATACATTGCTTAAAATTTCTTGACCAGCTGACCGACTATTAGCTTCACAAGAAAACCTATGTTTCGTTATGAGTCATTTCAGTGTTTGAATACCTAAAGTTAATCTATTTGAAATTGATTTAACTACGTTTCCACTATATCAGACTATAATAGCGTAGAATGATAGGATGATTAATGAATGAGTTTGATATTGAATATGCTAGGAAGCGGTCATGGACCAACTTAAAGTACAGTCCTGTTACTTTCATGGGTGTTGAGGAAGATCACGATAAAGCTTAGTCTGAATCCTCGACCTCCCGAAAGCGATACAAGAGTGCTAACCACTCTCTGGCCACTTTCGATAAACAGCTGCAGTCCCAAGGTTGGCAACTGTAACATTTCAGAAGATGTCTGACAGTAAATAGTTTAAATCTGTGAGAAAGAGAGTTGGTGGTATTTACTGTCATAGTAACAAGTATTAAAAAACTACTAACCATGTAACTATCTGACGAACTAACAAACCAGCCGATTAGTATATTATCTGACGGACTGACCGACTGAGCAGCTGAATGACAGGTTTGTCTTGTTAAGCCATATACAGGTGTCCCATGAGGAAAGGTCAATATTCTGGGAGGTCAAAGTATCGGTCATTCTAAGCAAAAAGGTGTAAATGTACATGTGTCCTATTCCGAACGGTTTCCGAGATAGAGCTATTGTACAGTTGCGAAATTGTTGATAAGAAAGAGATATTACGTACTGTTTCTAACACCGGTATTTATTGTTCAAGTGACAAAGTTGGTACAGTTTAGATAGTATAATATATTTTCGAAAATTCCACCGTCAACATCAATGCACTTTGCAACTCACCCGAGTGCATCTTGACGTTCGTTTATGCGGGCGATGACATCCAATATGGAAGGACAATTTTGGGTGCCAAATCCAAACTACTGTTCACTGAAATAGCTCTATCTCATAAACAAAAACCAGTTTATGAAATAGATATTTTACGCGTGTGAATGGGTACAACTAGGAATATGTTTGAAAACCTGCAGAAGCCACCTAGGAAATCAGTCTTGTTGAAATGACTGTGTCGGAACTCCACCGTGTCTTTTAATCTGATATTATTATGCGTTCGCTGTATCCAACGCATAAATTGAACGTATAATCGGTTACGTCTTTCTGTCAACAGCAGTGCTAATGACTTCACGCAGCATACTGCAGCCTCTCAGTCAAAACTTGATCTTCGCTTGCAATGAACGCATGTCAGTGCCACAGAGGACTGTAAGAACGCATTAGGAAATTCTGTTGACGTCAGATTGTAGTGCCCTTTCATCATCACAGGCCCATATAAGAGAAATTGAAGAATGTGTTTTGTCTAGATTTCTTGAGGAGTTCAACTCTTAATATCTATGAGACTTTCAACAAGAGTTTGTTTAAACAACGATTTAATAAAAAAAATAGACGACATAGTTATAAATCTAGTAAGAGTGAATTTAGTGCGAACACATTAAAAAATTTATAATCCTTTATCGTTTGTGAAAATTAAAACTGTGTTTTCTGTATTTTAAGACACATTTTTTTGTTCACATTTTAAAATTTCTTAAATCGGGGTGCGTCTTACATTTGATGGCGTCTAAGAATCGATATAGCGTCGTCCCCCCCCCCCCAAACCTATTATAATAGATGGCGTCTTAAAGCTTAGGAAATACTGTATTTTAAACTGAACATGTCTGTAGTGTTTGTATTTTGACTTCTACAGCCTGTAGAGTCGCTGTCTCTTATGAATGTGTTACAGCGCAGTGAACACGCTTATGCTTAACTGCTGGCAGTGTGGTATCTGTGAACAATTCGTGACTTCCACGCCAAGAAGTGCTCACTGCCATGCATTTTAAATGCGATATTATGAAATGAGCTTGGAACAGAGTGTGATCAAGTTCAATGCCAGTACATGTTTTGTGGCCCTCGTATTTCAGCTACATAGTTTATGGCTTTGAGTCGTACTGCATCCGTGTTCTTTCCCGAACATTACGCATGGAAATCGTTTGCTGATTTTCGTGTAGCATTTATTAATGCGTGTCCCGACAAAGTATCGAATAAGACAACAATACACCGACTAGTAACATGTTTTTCTGTGACAATTGCTCATCGAGTGACAAAGCAGCTGAAGTTACGGCCGTACCGATTCCAAACAGTTTATTGGCTGTAGCAACGGGATATGACTTCTAGAATTCAACATACCATTGGTTTCATCGTTATGTGCGTGAAAGTTCTGCCTGTAGAATGTCAGTGGGTTTTGTATAATTCTCAGAGTAAATAGGAATTTCTTCCTGAAGCAAGACTGAGAAATTGGTCGTTGTAATGAAGAAGCGGTCTTGAGAACAGAGTTTTTCGGTGTTAGAGCCGGATATCCGTCTGATAATGTCGAGTTCGGATCGTCAAGTCACGTGCCACTGGCGTGTTCAAGTATGTCGAAGATAGTTGTTTTTATATTCGTCTAAATAACTAATAAACTGCGTTAGTATTTAGTTTACTAACTACCAAAGTTGCTACTAAACAAATGAATTAAGTTATTTATTAATCAGTTGCATTACAAACTAATTAACAGTAAGTAGAACCCGAGGTTCCACACCTCTAACAGTAAAACCCGCCACTGGACACGTGTCTTATCAGCAGTGCATGAATCGACGGTATCGTCAAGCATGGCTGCCACCTTCACGCTTCGAAAATAACGACGTCCGGGAATAGTACTGAAATACATCTGAAGTATTCTTAGCCACTAAACTTTGGATTAATTAAATTTTATAATTTCAAAACAAATAGATTCTAATATAATACATGAAATATAATCGTTATCTTAAGTAGTTAACTCTAATATCCTTATCCAGTTTTGACCTCTAATTCTTACGTAGGTAATTCGGTCTGGGATGTTTCACAAGGCTATCTAAATGAAATCAAAATTCTGCTGACATATACAGATTCCAGCTACACACAGTATTTAATCGGTCGTGGTTAATAAATAGAGTATCATACTCGGTTTACCGTCATTTTAAATTTGAGAAATGAAATTATTAAAGTTTCTGCCACCTAAAATACCTCCGCCATATTGACTTATTAGCAACGTGCATCACAAATGCTCATACGTGAACACACAATAGTCGGTAGATACTGGTCCGAACCAGTAGAGAAGGATATATAAACTGTAATCGCCCTTCTTTTGTCTTGGACAGGAGATGAGTGGTAAACACTTTACGTTATAGGTAAAGGTGAATGGGTATCTTAGGGTTTGATTTAGAAGCCCTGAAATATATGAACTTATGGAATATTCCGGGCCTGCCGGGGCGAAGATAACACAAGATTATCCAGAGTCTGGCAGCATTCGCGCTCTATTAGCACGTTAAACGGTTATAGGAGGCGCCCGACTATGAATATGACCAGCATCTCCTACTTTTCAGTCAATTTTATAGCCTCGAGGACTTCCGATTACTTGTGATTTTTGTAGTCACAAACTTAGAATCAAATGGTATTATAATACCGTTGAGTTTATAATTAAATAAAACTTGCCTCGATACAAATCCTGATTTTCAACAACCAAATTATTGATTTAATGAAGGAGTAATTAATTAATGGTCCAAA